ACGTTCGTATCTGCGTGTATGTAGGGGTGGGGGCTCAAAAAGTTTTTTTGGGGGGGATTTTAAATGTTTGGGTGTATTTCTTTTATACTTTTTAAATTGTTTTCCTATACTTTTTTTTTCATCACATAGGGATTAAAAGTCCATGTGATGTATTTGTTGGTGACAGGTCCTCCTTAATAATACATGAATCCGGTGGCGTTTTACATGTGGCTTCTGGGTCAGGGAGGGGAGCTCAGTGAACAGACATTAGCTGATCTTCCTCCACTTTATATGGAGACACCCGCCATTGGCAGGGGAGGGAGGGACCAGCACATATGGGCGTGTGAGTCAGTGATTTGGCAGTGGCAATACAAGGGTTAAAGTGACGATATAGCATGTCCGATGTGGGGGTGCTGTAACCAATGTCAGGGGGGCAGAGGATGGGGGGGTCAGCAGGGCAGAGCACAGGGGGCACCGCTGGCAGGGCAGAGGACAGGGGGCACCGCTGGCAGGGCAGAGGACAGGGGTCACCACCAGCAGGGAAGAGGACAGGGTTCACCGCCGGCAGGGCAGAGGACAGGCATCACCGCCGGCAGGGCAGAGGACAGGGATCACCGCTGGCAGGGCAGAGGACAGGGGTCACCGCTGGCAGGGCAGAGGACAGGGGGCACCACTGGCAGGGCAGAGGACAGGGGTCAACGCCAGCAGGGCAGAGGACAGGGATCACCACTGGCATGGCAGAGGACAGGGGTCACCTCTGGCAGGGCAGAGGACAAGGGTCACTGTTGGCAGGGCAGAGGACATGGCACAGCTTTTTTTTCGCCATCTCTGCACTGCACACAGCCTGAGCACAGGCAGCAGAGCTCCTCCTCTTTACATAATGCATAACTGACACCAGTATATTGTCAGTCAAAGACAGTATAGTGGCAGGTTAGGGCAGTATAGTATCAAATTAGGGCTGTATAGCAGCAGGTTAGGGCAGTATAGTATCAAATTAGGGAGGTATAGTGGCAGGTTAGGGCAGTATAGTGACAGGTTAGGGTAGTATAGTGGCAGGTTAGGGCAGTATAGTGGCAGGTTAGGGTAGTATAGTGGCAGGTTAGGGCAGTATAGTGGCAGGTTAGGGTAGTATAGTGGCAGGTTACGGTAGTATAGTGACAGGTTAGGGTAGTATAGTGGCAGGTTAGGGCAGTATAGTGGCAGGTTAGGGCAGTATAGTGACAGGTTAGGGCAGTATAGTGACAGGTTAGGGGTAGTATAGTGGCAGGTTAGGTTAGGGTAGTATAGTGACAGGTTAGGGTTGTATAGTGGCAGGTTAGGGTTGTATAGTGGCAGGTTAGGGCTGTATTGTGGCAGGTTAGAGCAGTATAGTGGCAGGTTAGGGTAGTATAGTGGCAGGTTAGGGAGGTATAGTGGCAGGTTAGGGTAGTATAGTGACAGGTTAGGGTTGTATAGTGGCAGGTTAGGGTTGTATAGTGGCAGGTTAGGGCTGTATTGTGGCAGGTTAGGGCAGTATAGTGGCAGGTTAGGGCAGTATAGTGACAGGTTAGGGTTGTATAGTGGCAGGTTAGGGCTGTATTGTGGCAGGTTAGGGTAGTCTAGTGGCAGGTTAGGGTTGTATAGTGGCAGGTTAGGGCTGTATTGTGGCAGGTTAGGGCAGTATAGTGGCAGGTTAGGGCAGTATAGTGGCAGGTTAGGGCAGTATAGTGGCAGGTTAGGGTAGTACAGTGGCAGGTTAGGGCAGTACAGTGGCATGTTAGGGCAGTATAGTGGCAGGTTAGGGCAGTATAGTGGCAGGTTAGGGTAGTATAGTGACAGGTTAGGGTTGTATAGTGGCAGGTTAGGGCAGTATAGTGGCAGGTTAGGGCAGTATAGTGACAGGTTAGGGCTGTATAGTCGCAGGTTAGGGTTGTATAGTGACAGGTTAGGGCAGTATAGTGGCAGGTTAGGGTAGTATAGTGACAGGTTAGGGTTGTATAGTGGCAGGTTAGGGCAGTATAGTGGCAGGTTAGGGCAGTATAGTGACAGGTTAGGGTAGTATAGTGGCAGGTTAGGGCACTATAGTGTCAGGTTAGGGTTGTATAGTGACAGTTTAGGGTAGTATAGTGGCAGGTTAGGGTAGTATAGTGTCAGGTTAGGGTTGTATATAGTGACAGTTTAGGGTAGTATAGTGGCAGGTTAGGGTAGTATAGTGACAGGTTAGGGTTGTGTAGTGGCAGGTTAGGGTAGTATAGTGACAGGTTAGGGTTGTATAGTGGCAGGTTAGGGTAGTATAGTGGCAGGTTAGGGCAGTATAGTGGCAGATTAGGGCTGTATAGTGGCAAGTTAGGGTAGTATAGTGGCAGGTTAGGTTAGTATAGAGGCAGGTTAGGGAAGTATAGTGGCAGGTTAGGGTTGTATAGTGGCAGGTTAGGGTAGTATAGTGGCAGGTTAGGGCAGTATAGTGACAGGTTAGGGTAGTATAGTGGCAGGTTAGAGAAGTATAGTGGCAGGTTAGGGCACTATAGTGTCAGGTTAGGGTTGTATAGTGACAGTTTAGGGTTGTATAGTGGCAGGTTAGGGTGGTACAGTGGCAGGTTAGGGTAGTATAGCAGCAGGTTAGGGCAGTATAGTGGCAGGTTAGGGCAGTATAGCGGCAGGTTAGGGCAGTAAAGTGGCAGGTTAGGGTAGTATAGTGGCAGGTTAGGGCAGTATAGAGGCAGGTTAGGGTAGTATAGTGACAGGTTAGGGTAGTATAGTGGCAGGTTAGGGTAGTATAGTGACAGGTTAGGGTGGTATAGTGGCAGGTTAGGGTAGTATAGTGGCAGGTTAGGGTAGTATAGTGACAGGTTAGGGCAGTATAGTGGCAGGTTAGGGTAGTATAGTGGCAGGTTAGGGCAGTATAGTGACAGGTTAGGGTTGTATAGTGACAGGTTAGGGTAATATAGTGGCAGGTTAGGGTAGTATAGTGACAGGTTAGGGTTGTATAGTGACAGGTTAGGGCAGTATAGTGGCAGGTTAGGGTAGTATAGTGACAGGTTAGGGTGGGTATAGTGGCAGGTTAGGGTAGTATAGTGGCAGGTTAGGGTAGTATAGTGACAGGTTAGGGCAGTATAGTGGCAGGTTAGGGTAGTATAGTGGCAGGTTAGGGCAGTATAGTGACAGGTTAGGGTTGTATAGTGACAGGTTAGGGTAATATAGTGGCAGGTTAGGGTAGTATAGTGACAGGTTAGGGTTGTATAGTGACAGGTTAGGGCAGTATAGTGGCAGGTTAGGGCAGTATAGTGACAGGTTAGGGGCAGTAAAGTGGCAGGTTAGGGTAGTATAGTGGCAGGTTAGGGCAGTATAGTGGCAGGTTAGGGTAGTATAGTGACAGGTTAGGGCAGTATAGAGGCAGGTTAGGGTAGTATAGTGACAGGTTAGGGTAGTATAGTGGCAGGTTAGGGTAGTATAGTGACAGGTTAGGGCAGTATAGAGGCAGGTTAGGGTAGTATAGTGACAGGTTAGGGTAGTATAGTGGCAGGTTAGGGTAGTATAGTGACAGGTTAGGGTGGTATAGTGGCAGGTTAGGGTAGTATAGTGGCAGGTTAGGGTAGTATAGTGGGCAGGTTAGGGTAGTATAGTGACAGGTTAGGGTAGTATAGTGGCAGGTTAGGGCAGTATAGTGACAGGTTAGGGCAGGTTATAGTATAGTGCAGGTTTAGGGTAGTATAGTGACAGGTTAGGGTAGTATAGTGGCAGGTTAGGGTAGTATAGTGACAGGTTAGGGTGGTATAGTGGCAGGTTCTGGTAGTATAGTGGCAGGTTAGGGTAGTATAGTGGCAGGTTAGGGTAGTATAGTGACAGGTTAGGGTAGTATAGTGGCAGGTTAGGGCAGTATAGTGACAGGTTAGGGTAGTATAGTGGCAGGTTAGGGTAGTATAGTGGCAGGTTAGGACAGTATAGTGGCAGGTTAGGGTAGTATAGTGACAGGTTAGGGCAGTATAGTGGCAGGTTAGGGTAGTATAGTGGCAGGTTAGGGTAGTATAGTGACAGGTTAGGGTTGTATAGTGACAGGTTAGGGTTGTATAGTGACAGGTTAGGGTAGTATAGTGGCAGGTTAGGGTGGTTATAGTGACAGGTTAGGGTGGTATAGTGGCAGGTTAGGACAGTATAGTGGCAGGTTAGGGTAGTATAGTGGCAGGTTAGGGTAGTAGGGTAGTGTGACAGGTTAGGGTAGTATAGTGGCAGGTTAGGGTAGTATAGTGACAGGTTAGGGTGGTATAGTAGTGGCAGGTTAGGGTAGTATAGTGGCAGGTTAGGGTAGTATAGTGCAGGTTAGGGTAGTATAGTGACAGGTTAGGGTAGTATAGTGGCAGGTTAGGGCAGTATAGTGACAGGTTAGGGTAGTATAGTGGCAGGTTAGGGTAGTATAGTGGCAGGTTAGGACAGTATAGTGGCAGGTTAGGGTAGTATAGTGGCAGGTTAGGGTAGTATAGTGACAGGTTAGGGCAGTATAGTGGCAGGTTAGGGTAGTATAGTGACAGGTTAGGGTTGTATAGTGACAGGTTAGGGTGGTATAGTGGCAGGTTAGGGCTGTATAGTGGCAGGTTAGGGTTGTATAGTGGCAGGTTAGGTATTGTATAGTGGCAAGATACGGTTGGCTTTGGGGGGGCAACTAAAATTTGAGGAGGCATAGCCCACCCCAGCACCCCCTAGATCCAGCAATGCCCTCAGGTGGACTACACATCTACATACACACATTCATTTCTGTGGGAATTGCAGTGCATATAGAGCACAGAGTGTGCCCAGAAATAACAGCTCACTCTACTCTAGGAGCTGTGAGGTGCATCGGTGGAGGATGGGCAGCATGTACAGGTCATATAAAAAAACTTTTAAACTAAAACAAAAGCAGAATCATGGAATACAGTATTTGAAAAAATTGATGTAAAAAAAAAAATTTAGTTTAATGTTGCTTTAATTATGGGGATGATGGGGACACCTGATGTAAGGGGCACTCTGATCAGGACACTGATCTGAAGGGGAAATCTGATGGAGACACTTGATGTAAGGGGGCACTCTGATGGAGACACCTGATGTAAGGGGGCACTCTGATGGAGACACCTGATGTAAGGGGGCACTCTGATGGAGACACCTGATGTAAGGGGGCACTCTGATGGAGACACCTGATGTAAGGGGGCACTCTGATGGAGACACTTGATGTAAGGGGGCACTCTGATGGAGACACCTGATGTAAGGGGGCAGTCTGATGGAGACACCTGATGTAAGGGGGCACTCTGAGAGGAACACCTGATCTAAGGGTGCACACTACTGGGGACACCAGATATAAGGGGGCACAATGATGAGGACATCTAAAGTTAGGGGGCACTCTAATAGGAACACCTGATATAAGGGGGCACTATGATGAGGACACTGATCTGAAGGGGAAATCCGATGGAGACACATGATGTAAGGGGGCACTCTGATGGAGACACATGATGTAAGGGGGCACTCTGATGGAGACACTTGAGAAAATCGTTTGTGCTGAAGACCATGCTGGGTTGACACTGGTCAGTGACTGATCCGTCACTGGTCGTAGGTGGGTGGTTAGGGAGATGTGCCCAGTGGTGGATACTGGTGGTAAATCCTCTTAGGGTTTGGGCTTCTGCCTTTCTGGTATGTCCTTAAGGTGTTTCCACAAAGAGACTTGGAATAATAGGAATGAAGCAGCGCCTGATATCCAAAAGAATGCATTTTGATGGTAGATTAAGAGGCATTTATTGAGAATATCAAAAAGTACATCAAACCAACGTGTTTCAGGGGAAAAGACTCTCCCTTCTTCAGGGCTGTTGCTGCATGCTATTAAATGGAATAGATTCCCATGTCGGTTATACATTTTCCAGGTTTTGCAGGAAAAACTGACTGAGTGATGGCTGTCATTCCAGAGGCAGTAACTTGGGGATACCCAATGTAAGGGGGCACTCTGATGGGGGACACCTGATCTAAGGGGGCACTCTGATGGGGACACCTGATCTAAGGGGGCACTCTGATGGAGACACTTGATCTAAGGGGCACTCTGATGGGGACACCTGATCTAAGGGGACACTCTGATGGAGATACCTGATCTAAGGGGGCACTCTGATGGGGACACCTGATCTAAGGGGGCACTCTGATGGGGACACCTGATCTAAGGAGGCACTCTGATGGAGATACCTGACCTAAGGGGGCACTCTGATGGAGACACTTGATCTAAAGGGGCACTCTGATGGGGACACCTGATCTAAGGGGACACTCTGATGGAGATACCTGATCTAAGGGGACACTCTGATGGAGATATACCTGATCTAATTGGGCACTCTGATGGGGACACCTGATCTAAGGGGGCACTCTGATGGGGACACCTGATCTAAGGAGGCACTCTGATGGAGATACCTGATCTAAGGGGGCACCCTGATGGAGACACTTGATCTAAGGGGGCACTCTGATGGAGATACCTGCTCTAAGGGGGCACTCTGATGGAGACACTTGATCTAAGGGGGCACTCTGATGGGGACAC